AAGATATTGTTTAACAAATTTATTTGTTCAGTAAGCGATTTTTAATGAAACTGCTCGAATAATTTATCCATTTATTTAGTAATTTCTTGAAATCATTTTTATAAAATGTGCACGTAATTTTCAGAATAAATGTGAATAAAAATAAAAATAACCTTGAATTCTCTTCTACGCTTTTAAATATGTAAAAAAAATAAGCATCACAATATGCTTTCCAATTATCCTTTATGCCATACACGCAAGTTTTGTACTATATAACAATTTTGTTATATTATTACATTATTACATTATTACATTATATAACAGATATTGAAGAAGGTAGATAGAGTAACTATCTTTGAATGTGAATATCTGAAGAATAAATGTCTTAAATGAAATATATAAAAAAATTAAAGAGAATTAAGTTGACCTTGAAATCTTGTAAGAAGATGACTTTGAGAAAAAATTGCTTCAATCTTCCAATGCCGTCTCGGTTTTAATGCAACTTTATCCTTGAAAATTTTTTAATTCGATTGTAAACAAAGGTGATATTTAAGTTTTCTCCTTATTACGAATTATCCTGCATACCCAATTCCTATTGAACTACATTTCCTAACCTGTGCCGTTCCTTTGCCAGTAAATAAGTTTATCAATTAATATTGATACACTTAATAATGGATCTTCATTTATTTTTCTTAGAATATTCTTTCTGTTATGTATATCATCCTTGGGATATTATGTCAACTCTATATAAATCTCATTAACATTTTCTAGTAATATCTCATATACTATGCAATTATTTAGATTCTATACAGTAACAATTTTTTTACATGATTTTCTTTTACTATTATGAAAAGTCATAAGTGGGCATATGCAGAAATTAATATTATTTTTACATGCCATTATGACACGCAGAAATTCAATTGCAGTTGACGTTATGAACCTTAATCATGTCTGAAAAAAATTGTAAAAGCTGGTGCATTTATAAATTCTATAATATTTAATTTTAAATATTTTTAATTATTTAAATAAATTTTATTTATTTATTTCTTAATTTTAAATCGAGATCTCCTTGAATACTTGTTCTATTTTATATGTCGTGGACCTTAAAATTTAATCATTTAGAAAAATACAGAAAAGAGAAAGCAATTTCTTAAATATTTTATAACAAACACCAAATAAGAACAATAATTTAAATGTAAATATATGACCATTATCACTACCATTTTCAAAATTAATCAAATATTTTTTATATTTACCGATTTCAAATAGATAATATTTATCATTAGTAAGAATCTATTATATAAAACGAAAGTAAAATAGATACAGAAAAAAGAATTCGAGAGAAAAATAAACGAAATAAAAAATCATGTAGTTATAAAAAAAAATGTTCGATTTCAAAATTTGCTTTCTCATTTGCTAATTTACATAAATATTATACCTAAAGGAGTCAGCAAATCATGTTCCCTAATGTACGGGATCAAACTTGGTACATCAGTAATATACCTTTAGGGTGTTCACTCATTAAAATATGAGGAGACAATTGCTTACTAATTCCGAGAAATAATAGCCAAGATTTAATAACTCTCATAGTTTTGTTGACCTATTTATTTGTTAATACATTAAAATAATTATCAAGTAACTTAAATATGTAAGGATTAGCGTATTCATTCATTGACTCAACAATTGAATTCGATTCTGCTTGTGAGAATTAGAATTTCTTTTTAATAATTTTAACATAAATTAATAATTATAAATATTATCATATATTATTACGGGCAATCTTAGTAATGTAAATGTAGTGGCAACGAAGTATTAGCAGAACGTATATGAATAATGACGGATGAAAAAGAGAGAATAAAAATTATTGCGTAAAATGATAGTTAATATTTATTTATGCGATTTTTTTTTAGAGTATAAATTATTAGCATATCCGTTAGTTATGATTCGTAAACGTTTCTTGTCTTCTACACACTACACCTGTCACATTATTCGATAAATTTGATGAAACATTTAATTTTAAATTAGAAAGATTATTGCTCCGCAGCAAGCCAATTATTATTACAAACAGGAATAATAGGAATGAACAAACGTTACGTTAGTCTGAAGTGGATGATAAGAAGAAGGAAATGTATGATGTATCTACGCACGGTACAACGATCTCTATTATGCTACCAGCAAAAATGGAATGATATATTTCATATATCAATATATATGTACAAGTATCGAAACATTTCACAATCGATCTACATACATATTATATATTATATGATACGCATTATTTGCATTGGATATTATTTGAAATTTCTATCACAAGTAGATTAAATAGTATTTTTATTTATACAAAATATTGCTATCACTTTTGATTATTTTGAATTATTGGATGAGTTATATTATGTAATCATTTATCTATTACTGTGAATTATGTATATATAAACGGCTTAGAGTTCAAAAGTTCAAAAATAAAAAATTTGACAAAATTTCATAATAAATTGGTTTCAAAAATTTTTGGTTTCTTAATTCTATCAGAAAATTATATAAAGTTTTATTTAAAGGATAAGTAAAATATTTTTCTTACATTTAGAAAAAAAAATTTCAATTTTATATTTCAATTGTTAGCCTCCAGCAAATTCATATATTATTTAGTTTTTCTTGCAAAAATCTAGTTATTTAATACATTAACTAATTTAAAAGATTTAACGATATCGAATATCGATTGCAAGGATAAAAAAGAAATATTTATTTATGATAACATAATATGAAATAGAATTTTTACAATAAGAAAGATATATTACCTTTTTTTACTAAATTTCGTGATGTTATACTTGGAAGATAAAAAGAAAAGAAAGTAATAAAACTTGCAGATGCTACGAAAAATTAATATGGATCACTCGCGAGCTCAATTCGAATCGAATGTGTTATATTGCAAAATTCTCGAAAAGCAAGCGAACGAACGTTTGCGTTGCTTCAATGAACTGTTTTTCTTCCCGCGAAAAATCGACCGAAAGACACGATCGCTCACGAGTGTTTACGACAAGCTAGCTTTAGAACGCAACCGATGCAGCTTATTATCCCCTCCACAATCACAATTCTGTAAAACATATATCGTTCGCACAATAGTATGTTTGTACTGTTTCTTCTCATTTCAAATATTATACTTTCATTTTTTGTCTTAGCATTTTTTTTAAACGCATTGAACCTTTTAATATACAACTTCAAATATCTCGTAAACTATTGACATTTCGATGACCTTTACCTTATACTTTTTTACGCAGAATAAGAAAAGGAATCAAATAGTGTAAAAAAAAATATAAAGTTCCATTTAAAAAAAAAGTGCAACTGCATCTAGCGGATGCATCGATGCATTTTCAAAAAAAGTAAGGTCATAAAAAGTTGACATTTGTTGTGCCATATAACTTTTTCCTTTATGATTTTTTTCTATTGTTACTTAAAAAAAAGTTATTACCCGCCCCCGTTCCAAAAATCACCCTGTATATACATGCATACTCATTTTTCCTGGATTAGTTGAAACAACTTTTTATCGATAAAAAATACCAGAACAATAAATCTTTATTCAAATTCAAAGAGTAGTAACATATTTAAATTCATTGTAGAGATTTTCTTATTCTCGGTCTCCTCTTTATACACGAGCGTTTTTATTTGCTCCCACTTTTCTACGTATACTGTAATTGTAATACAGAAGAATACAATGTATGTACAGGTAGTATATACGTTTGAAATGTAACTTCCGTACCTAACTCTTCTAGTTTCACAGTTTCTCTTTTAGCTATTAGATTATATTTATTTTTCCTATGTTTCATTTTAGCTATTCTTATTAATATTGGTATAAGGTATACTATAGTAGAGCATACTATCTCGGTTGTAATTACATTTAAGAAAAAATTGTAATATTATATTATTATATCATTCGGAATTATATTAAAATATACACATATAATTTTATATGTGTATGTAAATCATGGCAATTATATCTCGGTTTTTATAAATACAAAGTATAATGTAATAAAAAAAAAAGGCTTCATATAAATATATAAGACATATTCCTCATAAAATACTTACAATGTCATGTCAATAAATTTATATCTGTGTAACTGTTAGTATTTATTAGCATTTTTATTTGCATAGTTCTCTAATTAATTTTTTAAGTATTTATTAGATCGCAATCGCATAATTGAACATTGCATTTCATTACTTATAACTATTATTATTATTATTATTGGAGTTAAATTTTAAACTAGTTTTTATATTTTCCACAGGCTAATAATTATTAATAATTTATTTAATTTACATTGATTTTATATTGCATAATATAATAATACAAAAATACAGATTGTTTGATGTAAAATGTCAAGGTTGTCGATTAGGTTATCTTTATATTATTATAAAACTTATGTATTATTTGCGTATATATCTTTTTAAATCCTAAATGATAAACACATATGATAATAAAACTTTTTATAATTAGTTGGAACTTCTGTTAATGCTAACATTATAATATTTATGTACATATTATGTATGTAATAAATTCTAAATGATTAGAATTGAAACATTGAGACTGATTGACTCTTATGTATAAAAATTGTCGTGCTTTATTGTACGTGCTTATGACAAATCTATTGCATTTATTATACGAATTATTTCATTTAATGAAATATTTCTTTGCTTGGTCAGTATATATCATTATTTATTCATGAAAATTTCTACAATACATGTATCTACAGGATTTACTCAACTACTTTTTATGCAATCTGTGGTATATATATATATATATGTGAGAGGTTTTCATTATAATATATATTATGCTTTTTACGTAATTCAGAAAACGTGTATTCTTAGCTGTTATGCAAATAGACATGTACAATTGCCACCACCTGTTAGCTATTTTTATATCCTCGTTATTCATTTATTCATTACAGCAAAAACGATTTTTTTTTATATAAAAAAATAAATAAAATTTAATTAGTGAAGCCTATAATAGGAATCAAATTATATTGGTACTTGCGTAAACTTTTATTATTCCATATTTTATACAATATAATAATAACAAAATTGTTAGTCTTAGAACTATTGTAAGATTCGTAGTTATTTAATATAATTTAAGCTATTTCATGAAAACACATATTTTTATAAAGCTTGCCGATAGGACCTTATACCTTCTGAATGAGTTTTGGAATAGTGGTGCATCGGTAATATAGTACAACGTTTGTATCGACTCAGCTTTGCTAAAATATTAAATATTTTAATTAAAAGAAAAACAAAAATGAAATGTTTAGGAAATTTTTAACCATAATAACATAATGTTTTATCGAATGCATTGAATCAATTAAAGTATAATTTTAACTAATTAATTAGTACTATCTTTATAAAATAAGAGCCTACTAAAATCATGTAATTTGAATTTGAAAACATTTATATTATAAAAATAAAATATCTACGATATTTTTTTATCAGATTTTATTAGGCTTATGATAAAACTATAAGTAATGACGAAACATTATCTTCAACCGGAAACTCATAAAAATCTTTGGATACGCCAGTAGATGGTTCTCATATACCTTTGAAAGAGCTCCATTTTTGAAAATTGTAAAGTCGAAACATCCTAATTAGTTTTTATTAATTTCAGTTATTATTCACAATATTTACTCTACTTTGCTTTATCAAATAATAATGTATACAATATTTTGATAAATTTGAAATATAGCGGTAATGCTTTCATCTCTTTTATGTATTGCTGTTTAGTATTTAATGTTTATCGCAGGTATTACCAAATGGACACAGTGCCAAATCGAAGTCACTGTAAATAGAGAACACGTATAATTATAATGAATAAATAGAAGATCATTAATTATTTTCATTAATTCTACAAATTATACGGTTAACTTATGCCAGAACAAAAGAAATGAAAAACAAAAAGAAAAGAATAAAAGATTAAAAACAGGGAAAATTAATTAAAAAATTAAAAAAAATAAAATAAAATCAAAAAGGTAAGATTTTCATTCGTAAACGAATTTTCTGAAAGAAGTAAGGTCTTCCCCTCTGTAACGAAGAGATTATCGATTCTACCTTTTTCTTTCTGCTTTCACCGAGGGCCAAGCTCGTTCATTGTGGGAGGAGGGGAGATAGTGTCAAGAGTAAGGGAGGGGTATTTGAAGTAGTGGACTAAGGGGGTGGACGAGGGGTATCGCTCGAGCGACGGTTGGGTACGGAATTAAAGATGGCGGTACTTTTTCCATTGTCTCACCCCCAGCAGCAAATTCTTTCCCCTTTATTCTTCTATCGTCTACCCTCTTTATCCCCCTTTGCCTTTCCATCGTCTACCTTCTTATCGAGGTTGCTGGCAAAGTAGTAGAAAAATGGGTTGGGCTATCCAATCGTCACGATGGCTCTCGATTTCTTCGAAACGTCTGTGGATATCCATACTGCATAATTGATATTCTAAAAATAAACAGAATTTTGTTTTTACGATCATTTTTAATTGAAAAGAAAAAACAAAATTATTAGGTTGTCTTGCGATTAAAATAACCGAACTTGAGATTCTCTACTTTTCTGTCTTTCTCTAACTATCTCTCTCTCTCCCTCTCTTTCTCTCTCTCTCTCTCTCTTTCTTTTTCCGTCTTTTTCCAATTTCTCGGAAAACGCTCTCGTATGAAGTTATTCTATGTCGGAAAAGAGGCATTATTTTTCCCTTTTAATGCCTCACTTGGTATTGACCGACTAACATCGCAGTATTTACGCTGCGCCTCCAACTCGAGTTTCTTCGAGTCGGAGAAAATGCTCGTCTTTGTTTTTATTGCTCGAACGGTGGAAGAGGAGGAGGAGGAGGAGGAGGAGGAGAAGAGGGAGAAAGAGGCAGCGAGTCTAAAGGATGAAACGAAGGGGTTGGAAAGAGGTTACAAGGGGTTGGAAAGAAAAAGAGACAAGAGAAGTGGAGAAACGAGCCAGGGCACAAGAACAGAAGAAGAAAAAGGAGGAAAGGAAAAGCAAATGAGGACTAGCGTTCTTTCTTTCTCTCCTTCTCTCCTTCTCTCTTTCTCTCTCTCTCTTTCTCTTTTTCTTTTTCCTTCATTCTTTTTCTCTCTTTTTCTTTCGTTCTCTTTTCAGAAGGATGGGGCTAGTAATGCGAAAGGTATGCAAGAAATCGCGAGTCCGCTTCCTCTTCCCAACCAGCCCCTTCCCCCCCCCCCTCGTTAGTTCACTCCTCCTCAGCACCACCACATCCAACTCCTTTCCACCTTTTCCATTTCCGCAGACTTTTCCGAGCAGCGTCGGAGCAAAAACTTCAAGCGAATCCTTCTGACCGTAAAAGAAAATGACGCTTAAAAAGGAGGAAAATAAAAGAGAACGATGGAAGACGCGAACGCGCGCGCGCTCATACAAGAGTGAGAAGGTAAGAAAAAGAAACTGTTTTTCTCTTTTACGTCAGAATCGAACACGTTCGCATTCTGTTTAAATGTTCGCTTTCAATTCGTTCGATGAATGCGCTGAATCCTCGTTTTAACGAGTTTCTGCCTAATCAAGATAATTGAGATACTACCTACTACTTACCTATCTTTCTACTACCTTTATTGTACGACTTAGTGTGGGATACGTTCACGTGAAAAGTATCGGTGCCGTTTCGCGTTAACGAAACGCGCAAATTTACAAAGTTTCGTCAGAATTATTCCTTAATACTAAAGATCTCTTTTCTTTTTCTAAGGAAGGAGGGACGAGACTTTATCGAGTTAAAAAAGAGGATCTAATATCTTTATTTTTTATGTTAAAAATTAATTTTGTTTTGTTCTGTTTTATTGATTTTTTTTAATTAATTATTTTTTTACGAGATTTAAAGATAAACTTTATTCTTTTTTTAAATATAATTTGTTTACTATATTCTCATAGAACATAAAAAACATGATTGGCATGATTATAGAATAATACATTATTCAATGTATAATACAATATTAAAATTTTGTTTTTCCGAGATATTATATCATATATGATATTTAGCATAATTACTAGTGAAGGTTACTTAATGTCAATCGTGATAGTAAAATATATCTATTTACCTTATTAAAAATGTTAGAAATTGTAATCATTTGCGTCAATGCTAAAGTGAAAGGCATAAACGTTTTATGGCAATTAATATGCTTTATAATCTCAGTAACATTACTTTTTATCATTGATATTATTTTTTCAAGATTTATAATGTATTTTAAGCATAAGAAACGATATGTAAGAAGTCCTAATTGAAAATATTTAGAAAATGATTATAATGTGTATAATTATTATTATTTGATCTTTTGAACTCAATAGATTTGATACATGAATCTTATTTTTATGTAAGTTAACAACAAGTACTTTTATCGTTTTATTTGTTATTACAAACTATGGTATGTCTCTTCTTGACTTTTATCTTTAAAACAGAAAGGACTGAATATATATATATATATATAGAAAAGAAGAATATGGTCGAATTTTATTATAATATAGACAAAGATATAGGGGACAAAAATTTTATATAGGATATTATATCCTTTTATAATGATAAAGAAGAAGAAAAAAACATTCCTGGCGATCAGTTTGATGCAATAGCGAGCAAAGCGACAATGAGTCATAATTCGTTCTATAAATTCGATCGTGGTTGGAAGATAGAATATATGCACGTAGAAGTAAACAGAGCTTTCTCGAATTTAGATAATTTAATGATCCCGCAAATGAGACGAAACGCGTAATTACAGGAGTGAGCCGAAGGCTTTCCATCCAGGACGGAATTTAATTAATTCACATCGAGTCGCCTGATCGTACGATCACGATCGAGAGGATATTAAATTACGTCGTGGGATGTGCGTGTATGTATATACCTCGATGTCCCATGTTAGCTAGCCTCTATACAAATACAATATTATCCGTTCCACGACTGCTCGACTGGCGGTGGCGCATGTGATTTTGCACTTGGTTTCAAACATACGTTGATCGCATCACAAACCCACGTGTACCTTACTGCATACATTTTTATATTCGTGCATGTTTAGTTTCTATAGAAGATTTTATTTGCCAATAAGTAATTTTTTTAATCGTCTTCTTAACCTTGATCATTGATTTAATTCATTATTATTGTCTCTCTATTTATTTTGCAAATTGTTAGACTATGATTCATTAATAGGCTTTTTATAAATGTTTTATAATAGTTATATAACACGATTTATAATTTGACATCACCTTAAAAACACATTAATGTATGATAATTTACGATAAATTGATAGTTAAAAAATATAAACGATCTCTATTTTTAAAAAAATAATGAAAAAAATACACTGATAAAAAATGTCGAGATTCGTCTAATTAACAAAGTTTTGTTATTTGTTTATTTTTTTATTTTCACATAATATGTCGCTTAGTTTCACTGGTTTGTATATTAGAAACAGGGAAAACGAGGAGAGCTTCTTCATAAATGAAGCAACGAACGTTTACTAACTATCCGTTCTCTGTCAAACTAACGGAGATACATAATGCAAGCTGCAAATAAAATTGGTTTGTTGTATATATATATATATATATATATATATATATATATAATGCGTGTAGGGATAGCATGATCACGTGGAAAGGCACACGATTGACCAGTATGCTAATTTGCCTGACCGAATTAAAAAAAAAATCTAAGGTAGGGGACACTTTGAATATTTCTTATTCCTAGAGGGTAGAATGTTAAAGGCAGCTGTCTCTAACGATCCATTGTCCGAGATTAACAACAATACCTTTTCACGATCAATACCAAGGAACATTTTCAACTTAAATCATAAATAAAAATTTAAATTAAAGCTTTTTCTTATATACATTCATATAAACAATATGTAATGAGATAATTATGTCATCTCTCATTAGTTTTTTTTTTTTTGAGAATCTTTGTTATTATATGCCAATTATCAGTTGTATGAACGTATTTAAAAGAAAGAGATATAGGGAAGAGAGACGTTTGCTTTTGGTGAGAAAGGAAGAGTTAGGGCAAGGGGCAGGGGTAGAGAGAAGGAAGATGATAGTCCACCAATGAAGCAGCGCCGATCGAAATAGTTTTTCAATTTTCACGGACGATTGGTCGCCCTCCGATCGCAATTTTCCCGTCGCTTAGCTTTTCAATTATCTACCAAACGCTTTTACTGTCGTTGCTTTCGGCATGTTTTAGGCGTCCACTAACACTGACACGTAAGGCAAAGAAGATAGAAATCATTCGATTTTTTTAGTATCGTTACATAAAAGCTTCCGATTAAGCTCTATGTTACTCTTGTACTTTGCTTTTAGATATTAGGTATATAAAGAGTGATAAAAAAATGGTTCAAAAAGATGTCTAATCAATCCTTCGATTTCAATTAACTATTAAAGATTTGTACTGCTAATCTCTATGAATTAATCTTTATCAATATTATTAATTGTTTTTAATTATTTTTAAAATAAGCTTTTATCCAGACAATGAATTAATGTATTTCTAAGCAAATTTATTTGAATACATTCAATATGTTACAAAAACACATACGATATTGCACGATCCTAAATAATACGGGTTAATTTCAATCAAAAAGTTTAATGTTAGGACTCATATTAATTAGACATTTTTTACTTGTTTCCGTTTTTTTATTATATAAAACCGTTTTCTTATCATCCTGTATAAAACTTATCTAATATTGTATAACTAATTATAAGATAATTTATAATGGATCGATTAAAAGTAATACAATATTTTCTTTAATAAAGAAAAAAGGAAATAATTTGTCAATACTAACAAGTTTGATATTTACTTTTATATGTCTCTGGTTTTTTAATACATAAAATATTTTCAATATTGTTTTACCGAGAAAAGAAATAAAAAACAGAAAACACAGAATAATTTATAAAAATATATTACGTCATATTTATAACGATAAACAATAACGAACAATTTTCCTCTTTCTATTTTTAAATTATTTACATCATTATTCCTACGTATGAATTTATTTATATATATGTATACTTTTTGTTGCTTGCATCATTTGATATAAATGAGAAATCAATTTTATTTTTCTTGACTCGTATAATATCTCATAAATAATAGTTTGAATACTAACAATTTATTTATCTCGGTAATTATTTTAATATGTTATATGCAATTACTTTTTTATAACATTAACATATACGTATTGAATGTATTATTGAGGAAAAACAGATGAAAAAAAAAGATTTAAATAAGGAAGAAAATAAGATTCAAGAGACATTATTCGTTCGAACGTTTAGTGTCCATGAAATAATGTCTTAAGAAAGGACAATAGTCTTCCGGATAAATTATGACGTCATAAGGCAGAGCGTAGAAAGCAAAAACAAAAGATGACGGCGTATCCAGGCGGAAAGGGAAAATAATAAAGGCCTTTTGATCGTATCATAAATCTTTCAAAGCTTTGTTTTTATGTCACTTAAAGCTGTCCGGC